AATTTCTAACCAGGAAATCACTAGTGTTTCCTTAATGTATCATAGAATATGACTTAATTCTGAATAAAATATTTTTATCCTTTAACTCTGAAGAGTATGGGATAAGAAAATTAGCTGCAAAGAACTCTATTATTTTCAATGATGAAGCTCTTTCAGAGCAACGAAAGAAAAACACAAGCATGACCATAAACTAGAATGTTGTCTATAATATGCACTCTTTCCAAAGAATATAGGACATGGGGCATCCTGACTGTTAACAGTTCATTTAAGACTGGGCATGAATAGTTTCAGAGAAAGGAAAACAAAAAAGTTATGTTGTTAAAAAGACTATTAAGTTACAAGAATATTTTAAAAAACAATATTAATTTGAAGTCATCGGGCCGAGCCCGTGGCGCACTTGGGAGAGTGTGGCACTGGGAGCGCAGCAGCGTTCCTGCCGCGGGGTCGGATCCTATATAGGGATGACCGGTGCACTCACAGCACTCACTGGCTGAGCGCGGTGCGGCCGGTCTCAAAAAGGACAAATATAAATAAATAAATAAATAAATAAATAAATAAATAACTTTAAAAAAAAATTGAAGTCATCACATAAACTTAAATAAATTTCCCAGGATTCCAATTATCCTCCAGGGACAGGAGAACAGCGATTAACTCTGTTTGCCTTTTTTACCTTGTCTTGCTTGATGTTATGAGAAAGAAAGAGATAAGGAGAGACTCCTTTGGGCTATCTTTCAGGAATCTAAAGCTTTCTAGAGACCATAATCTAGCTGAACTACACTTAACTAAAAGGAATTTAGACTCAGCAAAAGAACCTTTGAATCAGATTTTAGATCAATCTAATTCAAAGCCAATTGTCTTGATCTTATTTCTGAATACTCACTCCCAGCATGATTTAGCACTTATAAAATTTGCCAGTTCTTACTGAGCCTGAACTAGGCAAAAATTTAACCCTCCCCAGTATAATAAACACGCACTATTGTGTTAGAAACAGATGTTTAAACCAAAGGTTATGATCCAAAGGCATCATCCTTAGTTATTAGCACATCCTTTAATATCACCACAATTTGTTTTTTAAAGAACAACAATGTGTTAACATTTAAGCCTGAAGGGCTGGGAATAATGTGTATATTGTACTTGATGCAGCTTGTTTATTCATATTCTGACAGATACAATTAATCTTGTGATAATGACTGGTGTATAGCGTAATAGCAAATTATCTTTGCCAAACACGTATTTTTCCTGTAGTAAAATCCCCTCATAATACTCATAAAAACAGTAGCATATAGAAAGAACATTAGGAGTTAATAATTTAAAAGAAGAAATTAAAACTTATTAAATTAATAAATCTTGGCTATTGGTAGAGACAAGGGTTAACATGTTTAACTTATAAGTAAGTATGAAATAAATGAGTCTGTACCTCCAACAAATGCATCTCCAGCTCCATTGGTATCAATAATTTCTTCCTGGTTTTGATCCAAAACAGCAAAAGCAGTGACTTCACTTCCTGCAATTAGAGCCAAAGAAAAGCAGACTTACTTCTTTTTTTTTTGTCCTTTTTGTGACCGGTTGGCTTGGGGTCGCCTGCACCGCACTCAGCCAGTGAGCGCACCGGCCCTGGCCATCCCTATATAGGATCTGAACCCTCCACGGGAGCGCTGCTGCGCTCTCAGTGCTGCACTCTCCCGAGTGCGCCACGGGGAAGGCCCAGACTTACTTCTCTTTGTAATACACATAAGTTCACCTAGTAAAACATGAAGCTCATTCAAAGAGAGCTCCATATTCTGTACATGAGCACTTGGAAACCAAGGTGCAAAGTCATCTGCAAGTAATACTTATTTGTAGTTTTCAGCACAGAGATGCTGTATGTGTCTAGTGAGAGTTATACCTGGGTAGTTTACATTTTTTTTTTTGGAATGACTGTAAATGGTAGCAGTACCATTTGGACAGTATAAATGACTGAACAGAAACTATGAGCTAAAGAAGTGTTTGTATGGATTGGATTATGGGTCTTTAAAAAAAGCTTCAAGCCTGATTGTGTTCTTGGCATTGTAATCTTTGATACAGTTAAAGAGCTGTGAATTTAAAAAATATAAATAATGAGTCTTGGGTGTTTCTCCACAAAAAATCACAATGGCACAATAAAGAACACTACTACTATTTTGTTACAATACTTCATGCCTATGTAAAGAATTACTGATTTTAGTTGGCTTATTATAAATAACCTAATCTGGTTACTTTTTGCAACGGAGTCACTAATTATGTCAACTAGCGAAAGGGAAAGCTATCACTGAATGCATGGGCAGAACAAAAGGGACACTGCAAAGGGCTCTCATCCTAGAGCAATCTGGACCAGGGCTTGGATGTTTTGACACAGAGGAACCTAATACAGTACTTTAATCTTGGCACATGACAGTGGAATGAAGTTATCTATGATGAAACCTGGCTTAGAAGACATCTGCAGATGACTGGATAGTGCTTTTTTTTTTTTTTC